AAACAAACAAAAAAAAAAAAAAAAAGAAAGCAGCAAACCAGAGAAATTAATTAATCAGTTAGTAAATATGTAAACATCCATGATATCCCCAAATACAATACTAAACTACAAACTTCAGATTCACACTGTTTTTTTATTTCATCATTTTAATTTCTTTTAAAGCACTTTAACTCCTTCACCATCTGACTCTGGATTTCCAGAGAGTCTTTCCAATCTTCCAGATAGAAATTAAAGATGCTTTGGTAGAAACTTTAATGATGACAACATAATAAACTTGATTTCAAGTTGCTTAAGGTTGTCTATGCAGTACAGTAGTATCAAAACCAACAAATCCTGATAGCTTGCCTGAATCTGACAATACCTCAGTTGTTTTCTCATCTTTTTAACTGTGCTGTGATAAATCTAGGCAGACCACATCAGCTTCCTCTGCTTCGGGACATGTCTGTGAAATCTTAGCTAAGACCTTCAAGCACTCTGACATTTATGATTAAATATATAATAGTATTAAATATATTTTATTAATATAAGGTGTATATTGGTAAAAAACAGCAATAAAATGGAGGGAGGAGAAAATGATAAAGATATATAAACATGATAAAGATACAACTTCCATTTACACAGTTCTACTAGCTATCTAGAGTCTAAAGAAAAAAAAAGAATTAGTTCTTGTTATTCAACTTAATGTATACGTACATATATATGTAAAGTGTGTGTGTGTAGGGAACTCCAAAAGTAATACCTCCTATTTATTTCAATAGAAACTACAACAGATACAAAAAACACAACACTGTTTTATAGAGTAGATTCTCAGCTGCAAAACTCTGTTTTTCAATATAGTCATTTTAGCTATGTATTTTTGGCTGTCATAAAAATCTGCACCTGAGGTGATGACCCATTGTTTCACAGATGTTATGATGGCATAGCTTCTAGGAAAATGTTGACTATGTCATCCAAATTTCGCTGCACTGACATCCACTGTTTGCTCTTCATAAACAGTTGGTAAGTGCTGCTGAATGTGAATGGATGCAACTTTTTCCATGGAGGAATTCAGTTGCGCACTTCTCCTTCACCCTTCTATGTCAGCCAACATTTTGTCCAATTGCCCTTTTCTGCTGCCATCAGTCACACATTGACAAAATATATATCAGAATACTGTTGGGAGGTTCAAAATCTACTGTCACACCATTAACGTCCGCCTCAGATGTCATGGATCAATCTAATAAAATAAGAGGCATTACTTTGGAGCAACCTTCATATATTAATGCATATATCAGTTAAACAGTTGAAGAAAGCATTAATACTTTCAGTTCATGAATGATGAAAACAAAGCACATAGATTTTCTTTCACAAAAATATGCTTATGCCTTTTTTCTATAATGAGATATTCATTTAAAGATTATATCTGAGTTAGATTTTGTACTGCTATGCTCATTGTGAGCTTTCAATTAATGTGAGAGGAGATAATTTTACTATGCTAAGTTCTTAACTGAAATTCTGTAGCAGAATTGATGAGACAAATCCAGAGCTCTAGCTTAAGAATTTCATTAAAAATAGTGCTATGCTTGTGCGATTAGTTTTTATTTATTTATTTATATTTGATTTCTTTTAAAAAGGGAGAAAGAAACATTTATTTGAATACTAAAGAAATAACAAAATGCTTATGAGTCCCACAGCCTGATGTTATTTGTGACCTTTTCAACCATATTCTCATAAAAACTCAGCATGTGGTATGATGAGCTACCCTTTATCTATTTGTATAGAAAACCCAAATTAAGTTTTCAAACAATTTGAAAAATTTGTGGATGATGCCATAAGATGGATAGATCCATAGAACTGCTCAGGGCGACAGGAATATCCAGTAACAGCACTGCAGTTTTTAAACTGAGGGAGAGAAACTCTGGCTTTTGGCTTGTGCAGAACTCTCACAAAGATGAGATGAGCCATTGGACAAAAATTTGCACACCATATATGGTTCCAGAGACTCATTCAGTTCCTTACTCCCTCCCCACTTTCAAATATGTTGTTACCATTAGAACTATGCACAGAATTTACCCTATAGTTAAAAGAGCCCATTATGCAATAATTGGGTTAAGCTGGAATAGATGCATTAGGAAGAGAGAAAATTCTCCAAACAAACCCAATATACTCATAATAAATGGTTGTGCAGCACGTTACACACACACACACACAAAAAAAAAAAAAAAAAAAAAAAAAAGGTATCTGAAACTTTCCAGGTGAAGAATGAGCACAGATATCTGGTGTGGGCCTTAGCTCACCAAATACATTACTGCCTTTGTAAGTCACAAACACAAGAAGCTTTAAATTTGTCTCCATTCGACTAATCCTTTTTTAACCTTGTTGAAATTCAGAGTGAGCAAATGAGTTCTAAATCAAGTCTGTCGTTATCTGCTTAATGAAGGTAACATGTTAACTTTACAATATGAGGATATAATTGCACTTCTGCTGTTATGATCTGGAAGAAAGAGGTGTCATTGCCTTGCTTTGCTGTGTACAGAAGCAGATGAATTATTTTGATCTTATGAAAAATGCAATCAGTGGTACTATTCTTGTGCTAACAGATGTACTTAATTTTTCACCCAAAGTACTGGCAACGTTTGGTGTTGCAATAGAACCCTATGTTGTCAAGAGCTATTCCTCTTACCCAAGAAGTTTTTACATTAGCTGCAGTGTAAAAAGAAAATTAAGCATGTCTTGCTCTGTGCAGCACAATGAAAGTTCATAATGTAAACATTTATCACCATTAATGAATTGTCTTTAAAAAAAAATTTTTAATTACAGTTGGCATCTGAGACATGCACTGGAGAAAGTTGACTGAATGAATTTTCTAACATAGGTAATTTGTAATAATAGATGTTTGTTTACTCACTGGATCCTTCTTAAACAAAACACCTTGTGGTTAATTAGGAATGCTACTTGAATAAAGCTACCAAGATTAGAAAGAAATGTAAAGTGATAGGGAGAATTATCTGAAAGCAAGAAAGAAATTCTTCTTTCTCTCACGATTCAGAGCTGTACACTTTCTCAAGGCTGATGATTTCCTTCTGCACTTGCCCCACATACACAACAGATTTCCCAGCTTTTGTCTGGAACCTGACAGTAGGAGGAGCCTCAACTTCTTTTCTTTTTACTCTTTCCACACAGCAATGTCATGCCCTAAAAACTGTGCCATTTCTTGTCAAGGCAGGTGCAGTTGACAAAATTGCTCAGATCATGCACAGTTTGTAACTTTTCAGTTATATGAAAGCTGGAAATCTGGATACAGTTTTGGCCTGAATGATTGTATGAGCTTCATTAAACTATAACAGAGCTAATTTATGTAAATCTGCTAGATTACAAGGAATATGGTGAGTTAGCTTTACCAATTTCTGTCAGCCATTTGGCAACAGCTCCATAAATTTCATCAAGTATAAGTATGACAATGAGATTAATGATGACAGCAGTCGCAGTCACAGTCACTCGAACATTTGACCTGGTTGTCTCATTTGTGCTGAATGACAAAGCTGCTGATGTAGTAATGCGGTATACGATCACACCAAATACAGCAGAAAATGTCAGTGTAATCTGTAAAGAAATATACATATGTTAGTTTAATTATGATACTTGCTTTTAAACAGAAGCACTGAATTATATGTTTAGTTTGTTCTATGACTTAGAACTCTGTGGTTATTTCTTCAAGCAATACAATAATAAAGGTATAATTAAACTAAAATTTGAGAATTCAAAACTAATAGGGGCATAATAAAAAAAATGGATGCAGAATTATAAGCTAACACAACAATTCCTAAAATAGTGCATGTCCTCTGAGATTAAAGCTCCAGAAATTATCCACTCTGTGCTGGTGAAACTCAGATGGTTCAGGTTTAAATGCAGATATTAACAGTATTAAAAAATCTTTTTCCTGCCAATAGGTTCTGGTGGTTTGGAATGAAGGACCTACATATATGTGAAGCCAGGGAAGGAGGTCCTGCAGAAGTGCTACTTTATGATAGCAATTCTATTGCTACAAATTAAAACATGTATTTCCCCTACTATTATTTTTAAGATAAAACACAGTTAGAGATTCATCTCACATTTCTGTCCTAAAAATCAGCTGTTCCTGGGATTCTTCTGTGGCTAACTCTGACCTGTGAGATGAGAAAATTTAGCACTTCGACTAAAAGTCAAATTCTCACAAGAAGAATTTGATTTTCACAAGTCTGTGTTGTACCAGTTAAAGAAAATCTCCAAAACCCACAAGAAAAGATCAATTTAAAACAATAACAATTAAAAAATAGCCAATATTCATAGTCATATCAAGAAAGAGAGGGAAGATATATTTTCCCTTTCCATTTTTGCCTTTCTAGTACCCACTAGAATTCGTTATTATATGTAAAACATCTAAAGATCCTCAGAAAAAAAAGACTACTTAAATATGAATGATCAGACTAATGTAATTATTTCAGTGGGCCTAGGAGCCAAAGTTCAAAGCACAAGTTCAGCAAAATTTATCTATTAATTTTAATGACTCGGTAAAACTTTATTGAATCTGAATTGGTTTAGCACTAATTGGGGAATAGGCTCCCCAGGGAGGTGGTTGAGTCACCATCACTGGATGTGTCTGAAAACCATTTGGATGTGATGCTCAGGGACATGATTTAACAGAGGGCTGTTAGGGTAGTATGGTTAGGCTGCAGTTGGATTTGCTCTTGAAGGTCTTTTCCAACCTGAGCAATTCTATGATTCTGTGATTCTCTGCATACAGAGAAAGACTGACTCATGAATAGTACTAGATCAAAAGAACCAGAACAGGATTAAGAGCTAGTTTTTACAGGTTGCAGAGAAAAGCTAGGCAAATTTTGCATAATAGTATTCATTATGAACTGAACAAAAACGTGAAGATATCAGGCAGAATTCAAAACAGTTTTTCTGAGAAAACTGTGATAAAATGTTAAATTTATAAATATGTCGTGTTTTATTTATTTAAAGGAATCATTCATTAATGTTAAATTGAATACAGATGAGTTAAAATTTTTTCTTCATGATAATATTTTTCATTCAAATCTTAGTCTAAAGAATAAGAATCTCAATATACAATATTCTGAATGAAAGTTTCTTTCCTTTTCTTTTAGTTTTCATTATGTTGACTTTTTTGTTGTTGTTCTTTTGATTTTTCTGCCAAGCATGCAAGTATACAATATGCACAGCTCTTACTATGACAGGAACACAAAGATCAGAACTATGTAACTTGGCCGTTGAACTTGCCCACTACCAATTGCCACATGGAGAGATTATTCTTGATAATAAGACAAAGTAAAACAAAACTACATTGTGGTAATCTAATTCACCTTGCATCTCTAGAGTCACTTGAAGCTTTTATTTTTCTTACTTTGGATCATAGTCTCCTTCCCCTTCATCACCTTCCAAGTATTCTTTTTTCTGCCTATTTTTCCTGTGTATTTCTTTATTTCTTTAACATTTTTACTCTTGTGATGGGCAAGCAAAACCAGTGAAGTAAGTTTGCATGCATCATTCTGGAGCCAATGAGCAATCTGGACCTCCACAGACAGCTAACTCCATCACGAGCACCTACTTACAAATAATAGCTTTACAGCTCAGGAAGAACAGTCATTATAAGAATAGTCATCACTAAACAGAGAAAGTGGAAATTTCATCTAATGGAAGACAAATACCAGAATCTTAAACTTGACCAAAAGATTTAAACAAAATATTATTGGAGGATGAAGTATCATCGTGGCACAAAACTTTCTGGGCTAAAGTGATACCTTCCTCCAAGTAAGATAACATTTTAATGTCCGAACAGTTCTCCAGTGGAACTATTCCAGAGTCAAGTATTATGCCATGTGAGCAGTAATAGGGCAGTAGTATTCAAAAGAAGGAACAGACTGAACTCTTCTGCCATTACAATAATTGGTTTTCTACTTCTGTTTGAGTCAAGCACATGTAACAGAAAGAAAGGTGATGCCAGACTACTCTCTTGCAGCAGATACTGAGAATGTAATAACTACATTAGAAATCTTTGCTGCAACAAATACTTTCTAAGTGCAAAGTTTATGAATTGTGACATGTTATTACTAATGACATGCAAGCAAAAATGGTATTAGGACAACTGGGGCTAGACCTCCTCCTACCACTAATCTTATTGATCAAAAATAAGATTTGTGAACTTATTTCAAAAATCCTTTCAAAAGGCACTGCTTTAATCAAGTTTGGATCTTGTGCCCTCTATAATCATGTAGAGGCTTTACGTAAACAGAAGAGCTTTGATCAGATTTTAAAGCACCTGTAAAACTGGAATTGGAAACATTGGAATTATTTGGTGGCATAAAACTATAAACCAGGTGTAACGACTAACTGAACAAGAAAACCAGTACACCTAGTAAAGAAGAGAAAGGCCAGGAAAGAAAAAAACACCATTCTGCTTGAAAGGGGATTCTGCTTGAAAATGAGAAATAAAGAGAAAAAGCTTGCAATAAGAAAATTGCTAGCAGCTTTCAGGATTAGAATTTTCAGGGAAACTCCACTATATAAAGTTGGGAAAGAGAAGAACAGAACACAACATCCATGGCCTGCATGCTGCAAGAGGCCAGCACAGCCTGTGCTGTTGTACTGTAGTCAGCTCCCTGCCACTATGTCATCATGGCATTGACTCCACCCCACTGAGAGAAGGCATTCCCCCATTTGTCAGCAACATGGACAGATCAGCAACAACCAAACACTGATGCATGATCAGCACTGTACAAGCTGAAACCAGGACACATGGAGGTCACAGTGTGGTGGTAACTCAAGTTATGGCAAATAACTTTAAGCATTTTCATAATCTGACGAAACATAGCACTATGAACAGTAAAAAATAATCAGCCTTACTTTCCATTTTGATACAGAACAGGTTTCAAGAATGCTGAAAAAATACATCCATTTTTTCATATATTTGCAACTCCATTTTCAGTCACACAAATATATTACCTGTGAATCTTTAAATGGAATGTGTAGTTACAAACAAATATTCAACTCAAAATTTGATCATGTCTCTTTACTAGACTTTTACGAGGACTATCTTACTAGAGAAAAAAATCCCTTGATTCTCAATTGCGCTTCATTTATGTCATCACTTATCAGCAATATTCACTAACAACTATTTTCAAGGATGAAGCACAGGAAGAGCAAAATTTCATTAAAAAAAAAAAAAAAAAAAAAAGACAAGCATCTTAAGAACTCACTAAGGATTGCAACCACTTCAATCAAACCATATTGATGCATTAATTTCACAAAAACAAAAAAGTGGATGAAGCTGAAAACATATTTTAAGCTCTATGAATCTTCCTCGTAGGACATGTATTTCTCATCAACTGTAGGTCATTACCCTAGCTATCTGTATATTTTAGCATCTTTGAGAGTATTATTCAGGTTTCCATCCAAGATACTCATCACTAAGTTCCTCACACCTAATAAGTTTGGAGAAATAGATTATATTACCATAAATAAAATCAATCCAAAATTTGCTGCATATCCAGGCATACGATCATTCCAAGTCAATTTGTCTTCTCCATCCTGTGACAAAAAAAAATAGCCATTATGGAACTGTGGAAAAGAAAATATTAAAGTCCATAAGATCTATCAGTGAATAACGTTCTTACTTTCCCTTCTCCTGTTCTAGAACTGAAGTTGATTATAAGACTTAAAAAATTTAGTCTGATATTTTAAAGCAGATGTTACATTGAGGAAGAAACATGGTAAGAGTTTAAGAAAGACTATACAGAAAATACTTGAGAAATCAGGAAAAAACGTGTAACTAGGTTATAATATTTGCAAAAAAATGCAACCAGGTATATCCACATTTCATCATGTCAGGATTAGAACCTAAAATTCACTTTAATTTACTTTCAGTCAGAGTAAGGTTCAATCATTCGTTTTAAATTGCTTCTTGCAAAACTTCAGGAGAAATCATGAAAAAAATGCTATCACTGGACCCAGATTTTCTGTCTAATGGCTTTATTAACTATATGTGGCCAGTAAATTAATTCTTGCAGTGATATCCTAATCATTCTTGAATACTTGGATTATAGAACAGAGGAATTACAAAGGCAAACACCCTCTTTAACTTTTGCAGCCAACTTTGTTTTCTTCTTCTCCCTCATTATTGAATAATTTAAAGTAACTGTGATCAGTAAAATATTGTATACTTTTACTTTTCCCAAACTCAAGTCCATCTCATGTAAGAAGAGGTATGAAAATAGATTTAAGAGGAGAGAATCCTATCTCCTATATAAAATAATAAGGTAGTTACTTTAAGATAAACTAAAACTTAACTAAACAAGTTAAGTAAAGATTCTGAGCCCATTGCTGTTTGCATTTCAATGAAGCACCATTGCAATCCCATGAATGAGTATTTCATTTACACTGGAGTTAGCCCAGATTTTGTTTGGAATTTAAATGAATTTGTATTGGATAAGAACTGAGCTTAATATTTTCAAATAAACCATTTTCAAGATATGATTTACCTATATAAAAATAAAAATAGAGAGGTATAACAACTTCATAAAAACCTTTCCTAAAGTACAGGCAGGAATAGAATATATACTCTAATCACTTACTTTAGAGAATTTTCTGAGATGTAGAATTAGACTGAAGACATGATCATAGGAGCATAGAATCCCAGTGGGATGGGAGAGATAATTGATAAAAACAGAGTAGAACTCATGGGTTGAGATAAAACTATTTATTAAAATATAATATATTAATATAATATAATATAATATAATATAATATAATATAATATAATATATTTATATATATTATATTTGTTTATATTATATAATATTACATATATTATATAATATAATATATATTAATAATATAATATACTAAAATATAATTTATCTCTATTAAAATAGAGAAAAGAAAAAGGATAATAGTTATGACTGTACATATATATCTATGAATGCACACAATAAATAATGCAGAAGCAATTGGTCACCACCCCAATCAGTGCCCAGCTAGCCCCTGAAGCAATGGAAGAGAGCAAGATGAATTCCCACCCCTTTCAAAACTTCTGCATGATATTTTATGGTACAGAATGTGTCTTTGGACAGTTTAAGTCAGCTATCCCAGTGGTGTTCCCTCCCAGCTTCTTAGGCCCTTTGCTGAGAGTGGCCTTGGTTCTGTACAACACTGCTTAGCAGTAACAGTAAACATCAGCATTGTTTTTCTCATAGAATCAAAACACCTGGCATCATATCAGACACTCTGAAGAAAACATCTCCCTTTCAACTGGAACTAATATACCAGGCCCTCATCCAACATGACCTTGAACACCTTCAGGGATAGGGCATCCACAATCCCTCTAGCCAATGTGTTTCAGCACATCTCCACTCACCTCTCAGTGAAAAACTTTCCCCTGACATCTAACCCAAATCTTCCCTCCCTTTGTTTTAAACCATTCCCCTTTTTCCTACTACTATTTATCTGCGTAAAATATTTATTTCCCTCCTATTTATAAACTAATCTCCCTTTTTAATTTTAGAAGGCCATAATGAGATCACCCCAAAGCCCAAACTTCTCCAGACTGAACAAGCCCTGCTGCTTCAGCCTGTCATTATGGGAGAGGTGCTCCAACCCTCTGATTATCTCTGTAGCTCTCCTCTGGGCTTTCTCCAAAATCATGACATTTTTCCTGTGCTGGGACACCAGACCTGGATGTAGTTCTCCATATGGGGCCTCACAAGGGTAGAGCGGAGGAGGAAAATCACCAAAGAGCCTAGGCTAGTTTAACAGTTTTGCTAGTTTTGCTTGCTGGAATGCCTCTTGTTCTATTCTCTCCCAGTCCTGTTTTTTATCTTTCTTTGTGAATAGATATAAAGGCCTCAGCAGCTGCATTAAGTGCAATATAAAGTAATGCCAGTATCCCAGTACACCCCAAAACTCTTGAAGCTGGCTTGGTGCAGTCAGGACTGTGAGCACTTGGACCTTGCCTATTATCTCAGTGGGTAGTGCTTTGGTCTTCCCTGACCAAACTACACCCAGGAATTTCACCAACAGGCCTGGTCTTTGCACCTTCTGTGGGTTTATAGCCCACCCCTTCTCTTGTAGATGAGTAATCAATGAACCTACTGCCTTTCCTAATGCCTCCAGACGTCAACATGAGATCATCAAGATAATGGTACAGTTTGATGTTATTGGGATTATTCCAGTCTGCTAGGTCATGTGCCACTAAGTTATGATGATAAGTAGGTGAGTGCACATACCCTTGCAGCAGGACCTGAAAGGTCCACTGCCTGCCTCCCCACATAGATGCAAATTGGTGTTGCAATTCTTCATGGATGGAAATACTGAAGAATGCATTTCCCAAGTCTAGGACACAATGGTAGGTTTCTATTTCCCTACTCAGTGTATCCATCAGGGAGGCAATATTGAGGATGGCTGCATGAATGGGCAGCATGACTTTATTTAATTCTTTGTAATCCGCTGTCATTCTCCACATGTTGTCTGACTTTCATACTAGCTATATGAGGGAATTATACAGGCTATGTGCAGGTCTTATCAATCCTACTTTTTCTAGCTCCCACACCGCTCTGGAGATTTCCCTCCTGCTTCCCTGAGAGCCTATATTGTTTAGTATTAGTAATCCAGTATGGACCTGAGGTGAATAGGCTTGTGCTTCACATGGTCTCTGAATATCAACTGCACTGCCCAGATACTAATGCATCTCTTTCTTAGTCTGAACTCTCCCACAGTCATCTGGAGAGAGAGACTCCATAGTGTATCTATGCCCAGTAAGTACACCAGGACTGAGGGAATAGACAACTTACACTCCCATGGTGGTAGATGCCCAACCCCCAGCTTCAACCATGTCTAGGTTACAAGACTGGTTACAAGACAGTCCCCAGACACACCAATCATCACATTACCTCCATGAAATTTAGTTGGATCACCATAAATAATTGAGGTTTCTGCGCTGTGTCTACTAACGCCATAACTCACTGTATGTTCTTCCAGGACCAAAAAAATAGTTCAATATAGGGCCTTTGGTCTCTTCTGGAGTCCCTAGGTTCAAGGGAGCTGGCATCTTCTGTCATGCAAGTAACTTCAGAATCAACAATTCTTTTTTCTCAGTTGGCTCAGACATAGTGGCCCAAGTCACTTGAGGAGGCTTTTTCCTTTTGTTAAGATCTATGAAATCTTCCAAGTTCCATGTCCTCATTGGTATTTTTTCAGTATTTCTTACCCCTGCTTTTTTGGGGATATTTTGAAACTTTTTATTTTCCTCCAGCTGCCTTCATAGCTGGAGGAGAGCATGATTGGGCTGGTGATAAGTTTTTGCAAATTGAACCCCAGCCCAGATTAGATCAGTAAAATTCTGTTTTCAGGATACCCATAGAGGTCCCAGTCAAGAAGTCTGTGGGGCGGGTCTCCTACTTTTAGTACTTTTACAGGGAGAATCTTTGCCCCTTCCCATTTGCACATATTGTACCCGGTCCTAGGGCACTCTGTTTCTTCTAGATCAGCCACCAACTGGGTGGCTTGTTGGATATCAGCCTCCAAGGCTACTAAAGGGTTTAGTACGGACACAAGTGTGACATATTTGTAGGGAGGAGCTTATTGTAAGATAAGGTCCTCCATCCAGGCTGAGAAAATAACCAGGCCTGGACTCTCAAAAGCATCACCATGGATTGTCTTCTTCATTCCCAGCTCTATGATATAATTTTGATTTTCCTCCATTGAAGTCCACAGACCAGTTTTTACTGGGACACTGCTTTTGTTTGGCCACATGATCCTATGTGCAGCTATTATCCATTGAATCAGAGAATGATTTTCCTCATTATGCATCACAGTCACATGTGGGCCAAATGCATGATAATTGATGCAAGTTTAGAAATCTTGTGTCCATTAATAACCACACTTTCAGCCACTCATGTCCCCTAATCTTAAGAGGCAAGCTGATATGCTCTCTTGTGGTTTCTTTTTAAATCACTGTAATAAATCCCTAGGTTTGGCAGCTGTGTGCAGGCACACTGTCACACGTAATGTGGTGTGGGCAGGGGGCTACTCCTCGTATGACAACCCTGCTGGTCTAGGTTCCCAGAATAAGAACTTTTATTTTCCAGTTGTCTGTTATGGGCTTCTAAAAGCTTATTTTCATCTTTCAATCCTTCGTCAGAGGAGCTATATACATTAATTGTAGGAGCAGCCCTGCTACAGAGGATACTGCTATTACTCCTTCCTCAGCTGTCAAAAAAAAAGTTTGTTCTAGTTTATACAAGAATTCAGCCATCTTACAAGGGGATTTAATAATGGGACCACTGTCTCTTATAGATCCCAGAGAAATCTCTGCACCTTTGGCTGGAGCACCTTTTTCTCCTCCTTCTTCTCTCCCTTTGCTGTTCAAGGCCTTTTTCTCATGTTTTCCCTCCCTCCTCTCTGCCTCTGTGGCATTTTTTCCTTTCCTAAATACATTCTTCCAGAGTCACAGAGAGCTTTGCTGATGTCCCCTATTATAGGGCTAATGAAGATGTTGGAACTGACCATGTTCAGCACAGGTGAATATCCCCAGTCTCTTCTCAGAGCCCCTCAATGCCCTGACACCAATTGCCCAGCACATTATATTTAGTTTGCAATACTGAGCAAGAAAATGAAGGTTGAAGAGAACTCAGTGGAATGAAAGTCACGGAAAGTATTTCCCCAGCTTCTTGTAATGGAGGACACAAAGGTTTTGACAGAAGAAGGGAGGCCATGCAAGGAAAAGAACATCTGGATAGAGGAAGGAAAAGGTCAGAATACCATCTGGTCATCTTTCTCTCTATTGGATGTGCTTTCTTTAACCTTATGTGACTTTGCTATGAGTTTGCCATTCTCTATAATACCAAGCCAAAGAGAAAAATTAACATATCAGAAGTCAGAAAAAAGTGGATGAAAATATTGTCACTTAGCATGGATGGCAATAATTTAAGTACCAAATTTTGAAATTTTTTATCAATATAGTTTTTAAATGCTAACAGAAAATGTTATTTTCTGTTATGGCTCTTGATAAGAAATTCAAATCTAAAACTTCACTTGGTATTTCACATCACACTCAATTCACTGTCAGTAGTGCCATCTAGCCGTTATAAGGCTGTACTGTGAGTTTTCAAGAATATCTTGTCCGGAAAGTGTTATGCTTGAACATTGCAGATAATAACTGTGTTTTGTTCTAAATTAATGGAATTTGTCAATAGATTTCTTAGGAAACTCATCTCATTTTAATCAATTATTGAACATCATATATATATGAATTATTTATTCATTATTGAACATTTCTTGGATTTTAGAGGTAGAAAAGCTTTCTGGGACATTAATGAAAACTCAGCCCGATAGGTAAGGAATCTGTTTGGAGCAGTTCAAGAAATGTATACAATTACTGACATAGTAGACTAACACTGATCATCTGAATAACAGTCTCAGTGGCAGATATGTCATGCTGTGGCATGTTCCCCAGAGGAAACTACATTTCATGGAAATTTTTACATGAAGACAGAAAAGTTCTCAACAGAGATTATGTTTCTGTGGCAAACAAGACAACATAATAGATCATTTTTAAATTCTTTGAACACAATTCTACTTTCACAGTTGAATTAGAAGAAAAAAATATTGAGTATGTAGCTGTTTTGGATGTAGTCATGTATTCATGACTTAATGTGATGTTTCTGGATTTTTTTTCTTCCCATTAAAATTTTAAAAACATAATGCAAAAAAAATCAGAAAAGATAGTAAAACTAAACCAAAACTCTGTCTAGGCTAGGCACACCCAACCTGATGACCAAAGGCTATATGCATCCTGGCACAGATCACACTGCAGCCAGACCTCTGCTTTGTTTCGTCATGATGGTGGCTCTACCCCACTGAGTAGCCTGGCTCAGCCCTGGCGCAACTTGGTAACAACCAACATGGGCTCTCTATTAAGCCTGTCTGCTCTAAAAGCAGAGCATGGGACACAGTGCAGTGCAGGCTCAAGTTACAGCAAATAAGTTTATTCATATAAGCTGGCTAAACACAGTCTTGTGAACAGTGAAAAAAAAAAAAAAAAAAGCTTGTTCATCACTAATGGAAAAGTAGAGCTAATTATGGTGACTGTGTTGAAAAATATTGTTTCGTAGCTGAGAATTTGGTATATCAACTATTGTTGTATTCTTTGTATCTGTTTAAATTTCCATTGAAATAAATAGGAAGCTATACTTTTGGAGCAACCAAGACAATTTCTCAGTGTGGCACAGGCAAGCCAGAATGTTGGACACCCATGATCAGGCTTTTTGCTGGATGGTTCATTTTTTGTTTATAACATTATATGTTACCTAACTTGATAAAGGTCCAGCACATCTGCACAGTGCACCTGCGTCTTCACATGAGGCTTTTGGATGTGGAAGCATGGAAATATACCACACTTGGACAGCACCAAGCAGCTCTGTGAAAGTTCTGTTTCTCTGTGAATTAAATCACAGCCAGTTCGCTCAGATCACAAGTATTACAGTTATTTATTTATATTTGTATTTTCCCACAAGAGAACATCTCAAAGGAGGTGTTTGTAACCATCAATAATGCCAGCTTAATCTGCTCTCAAGGAGTAAACAACACCTTTTATTTCTTACGTTTCCTGGCTTGTAACTCTAATTTTGCAGTTCAGGCTGTTGACTCATTTGCACATGAACAACCTGAATGACATCACTGGGTTTTACATATATCAAGGTTCTGTTTGTTTGTTTGTTTTTTTAATTGGAATTCCACATTATAACATCATGCAGTGTACTGGGAGTTAAACAGTTAATGCTGCAGTTTCTTGGATTGTTGATATTTCCGGTCTCCTGGACTCAGAAGAAAAGAATGAACTACAACTCCCAGAAGACTCAGTTTTTCCATTTCTGTTTTTCATTCAGAGGGAAAGATAAAACTGTCTGGGAGTCACAAGACTTTCTTCTTCTTTCTTTGCTCCTCTGCTGTTTTGCCTACAGCATTAGTTACTCTACTAATGTAACTTTGATTTCAGAAACTCTCTTGATTTTATTTGATTTATTAGCTTCAATTATAGTCAAATTGTATTATATTTTATTATCTCGCATTCTACTACTATATTTAAGTTTTTCCTTAACTAATTGCTGCCATTATCATTTTTCCAGGCCCGTCTCCCTACCTTTTCCTCCTTCATATGCCTTTTCCCAGAGTATGGGTCTGTGGGTCCCTTCACCTCCTTGTCATTGAACTAGATCAAACTAGGCCAAACCAAGACATAGAACTGCAGTAATTGACTGGAATATAGTAAAAGATGATCAGGAAAGAATAGAATCCAGGACCTCTTTCTCTTGGCTTCCTAAGATTTTGCACAGCAACCAACAGTAAAAAGCTATAGAATTATATTTCCAATAACAAAGTGCAGAAGTTCATCTGTAAATACGTACAAAAAATATCAAACGAGTTAATGCCATTTTTATATCTATATTTTTCTGAGCAGAAATAAAAGCTTTAAAATGTGAAAAAAACTTGATGTCAAAATAAACATCCAATAGCAAGAACAGTGGCATCCTATACAGGATACATCCACATTAAAATAACACATCAAAAATTACATGTCTATTACAGGCTTAAACAAGGAATGAAATGAGCTTATTTTGAAATAAAGTGTCACTGTAATTTTACTTTAAGCATGGCATAAGACGAAGGCAAGGAGAAATGGATACTTCAGAGCTATTGAGAGGGTAAAAGAAGCTAAGAGCCAGAAGGAACCTGCAGTGCAGGCAGTTTTTGAAGACAGTGTATACCAGGATGATCTTAGAAAAGGAGGTACAAATAAGACACATGAACATTTCTGGAATCTTACAGTGCTCCACAGTGACAACTACAGGTAGAAAACTGTTTTAGCAAATTCCTGGGACTGTTCCAGGAATTTGAGCAAGTCTGTACTAAGGCCCCCAGATTATCTAAGAGGAAAGATAAAAATGCTGCTACTCTGACCATATGCCAATGCCTGTACCTGTACTTTTTTTTTTTTTTTTTTTTTTTTTTTGCTATAAGGATAATAAAATCTGGTTTAACTAATATTCTTATTAGAAAAACCTCTAATCACAAATTAAGTTTTTCTATGATGAAGTCACAAGTCTCATTAGGTCCTAACAATATTGATTACCCTTGCTGTTGAAAATGCATGGCTTATTTCCAGGCTGAATTTGACGATCTTCATCTTCCAGTCTTGGCATTTAGCTGCAACTTGGCTAAGAAAAACTACTAGCAGATTTCTGGTTGGGCTGTAGGTTCTTACAGATGGTGACCATGGCACCTCTTGGCTTTTATTCTAGCTTCAGCCACTCAGACAGAACAGAATAAATTAGCCAAGAACATAGCTGAGTTTTGTCCCCTGCAATACGATTGGAAACAATTCTTCTACAGGCTACAAACTTGCCTTGAAATGGAGAAGTATGTCTGAGCAGCCAAGGTCCTTTGCCTCAAGATACTTATATCCCTTTCACAATAACAGACATATGATGCAATGGTTACTGTGCTAGATGATGGTCATAGAGCACAAAAAAGCCTGGTGAAAGATACATACCAGCCTCTTCTCTGTCAGTACTGCAGAGAAACTGGCAGAATGAAGGACAAGATAATTTTAAAAGGGTCTAGTACTTGTCCAACTTAAAAACTTTCTTCTGAACATTCTCAAAAATGCCAAGTTGTGTGTATACATATATAAATAGACACAGACATACATGTAGATAAGTGCATGCATGTTGGCGTATGCATACATATCATATGCGTATGAGTACATGAAAAAAACACACTCTTTTTTTTTCTTTTTTTAATTGGAGCCTAAGGTATGAGCAATAGTTCATACATAAAAAAAATATTTTATCAGCCTTCTACTCCAAGTTAGGGAATGTAGATATACACCTAATCATTCTAGTTCTTCTCAAAGATAATCTGCAACATTCTAACAAGCTCTCTTTCTGATTTTCTTTCTGCAGCAATAGCACATACCTAGGCTATGCTAGGAGAGACATATTAGCTATTGGATATGATAGCTAGGGTGAGAAGACCTCAGAATTGCATTCCTATACAGCAGTGTTACTGAAAATTCTACATTAATTTCAAATATAAGAAATCATTGTTCCTTGGACTAATTTCAGAGAAGTATTTCAAGTTGTTTCATTCACTTATAAATAATGACAAAAAGCCAGAGGTCTGCTACCAATGTAATTTAAGTTTGTAAGGCTAAACTTGTTTAATTTAATTCACTGTAGTTTATTCAGAAATAGAAACGTTTCCTTGATGCACTATATTTAATGCATACATTGTCTTTGATAGTCATCTTAATGTTTCTGGTGCTTTCTATGATTGTAGCATTTAGTGATCATTATTGTATAAACAGCATTAAGATGCTTAGTCTTCACATCACTGTTTAAAACCAACTTCTAGCTATTTACATATGGTTTGAGAGAGAACTGACAACTTTTTTTCTCTCTCTACAATGACAGTTTAACATATGGCTTTACAAGAATTAATTTATGAAAACAGAAGATATTTAGAACATTACCAGAAAAATACTGTAAAAACATGAACAATAGGTTTACAACTGTATTGTTAAGTATTCATTGTTTATCAATAGTCTTCAAAATTGACAAAAATAGAGTAGGTATATCAACAAAGTAAATTTCTGTAGTCTGGAAGCAGTTGCCATCTATGTATGAAACTGGCATGTAGTATCTAGACAAAGATCAGTAAGCTGTTTGTCCTATACTTAATATAATAATTCTGAAGTCTTGCCACTGAGAGGACCTCTGGGAAGTCTTGATTCTAATAAGGCAGTTTAGGATGATCCTTTTTCCCTTCAGACACTTTCTCAAAGTTCCCATGCCAAGCTGCAGATGTTCTGAACTTTCAGTGTTGTCACAGAAAGTGAACAAGATCTTATTCATAAATTGGAACATTCATAAACTGGGAATGGAGACAGGAATATTTAGGAGAAATGCATCTCCCAATAGAGGCAAGGCTGAAAGGGAGGCAGTGGCCCTTTCAAGACTCTCATGCAGCATTTTTTTGCTATTCACTTTCTGCAGTTTTAATCTGATGTATATTTTGCATCCTGGGGCATCACTGGCCTGTGCAGAAGACTCAGAGATCCTGCTACAGAGCATAGAAAAATGTAATACTGCTATGTAGGCAATGTCTAACTACATCATTTTGTATCTTTTTCTGGATACTACATGCCAGTTTCATGCATATATACAAAATATTTCTATATTTCTGATTTTCTGTAAGTGCATCAACAGCAAGAAGAGGGCAAGGGGGAATCTCCATCCCTTGTTGGACTCTGAGGGCAACACAGTTACCAAAGATCAGGATAAGGCTGAGGTACATAATGCCTTCCTTAGTCTTTAGTAGTAAGACTAGTTCCTTCCAGGGCACACAGCCCCTTGCACCGCTAGATAGGGCTGGGGAACAGAGTAGGCCCTGCATGATCCACTATGAGATGGTTTTGGACCTGCTCCAAAAGCTGGATGCTCAAAAGTCCATGAGAACAGGTAGATTGCACCCTAGAGTGCCGAGGGAGCCGGCAGATGGGGTTGTCGAACCACTCTCCATCACTCTTCGTCAGTCCTGGCAAACCAGGGATGTCCCAGTGAACTAGAGTAAATGTAACACCCATCTTCAAAAACAGCCAGAAAGATGATCCTGGTAGCTACAGACCTATAAGTGTCATCTTGGTGTTGGGGAAGGTTATGGAACAGATAATCTCAGGAGTCATCATGGACCAATTAAAGGTCAACCAAGGCATCAGCCCAGTCAGCACGGGTTTATGAATAGCAGATCCTGTTTGACAAACCTGATTTCATTTTATGACAAGGTGACCTGCTTAGTGAATGAAGGTAAGGCTGTCAATGTGGTCTACCTGGACTTCAGTAAAGCCTTTGACACTGTCCCCCACAACATCCTCATGGAGGAGATAGCTTTCCATGGTTTGGATGGGCATATACTCTGCTGGGTGAAACACTGGCTGGATGGCCAGGCCCAAAGAATTGTGGTCAATGGAGTTAAATCCAGTTGGCACTGGTCACAAACTGTGTCCTCCAGGGCTCAGTACTATTCAACATCTTTATTAATGATCTTGATGAGGGGATTGAGTGCATCTTCAGTAAGTTTGCAGACGACACCAAATTGGGAAGAAGTGTTGATCTGCCTGAGGGGAAAAAGGCACTGCAGAGGGACCTGGATAGATTGCATCAATGGGCCAAAGTTAACTGTATGAGTTTCAATAGGTCCAAGTGTTGGGTCCTGCATTTTGGTCACAACCAAACCAGAGGCAACCCTACAGGCTTGAGGAAAAGTGGTTAGAAAGTTGCCTGATGGAAAGGTACCTTGGTGTACTGATGGACAGTCGGCTGAATAAGAGTCAGCAATGTGCCCAGGTGCCAGAAAGGCCAAGGGCATCCTGGCTTGTATCAAGAGTGGTGTGGTGAGTAGGACTAGGGAAGTAATCCTGCCCCTGTACTGGGCATTGGTGAGGCCTCACCTCAAGTACTGTGTTCAGTTTTGGCCACCTCAGTACAGAAAGGCCACTGATGTGCCTTGGAGCAGGTCCAAAGTAGGGCATCAAGGCTTGTAAAGGGCTTGGAGAATATGCCCTACGAGGAGAGACTGAAGGAACTGGGCCTATTCAGTATGGAGAAGAGGAGGCTGAGGGGAGACCTTATTGCTCTCTTCCAATATCTGAAAAGTGCTTGCAGCAAGATGGGAGTTTGTTTCTTCTCACTGGTGACAGGACAAGGGGAAACGGCCTTAAGCTGTGCCAGGTAAGTTTATGTTGGATATCAGGAGACACTTCTTTACAGAAAGGGTTATTAAGCACTGGACTAGGCTCCCCAGGGAGGTGGTTGAGTCACTATCCCTGGATGTGTTCATATTACTCTGTCCACAGAACCACTCATTTCACTGACACAGTCATTCTACTTCTATTTATTCTCACTCGCCTCTTCACATTGCCATGTTATTCATCAGCTCTCGTCAAGTATTCATCTTAGGCTGGAATCTCTCACAGATAGGGATGGTATTTTCACTTGTGTTTTTATAAAATGTTTGGTTTGCTTCCAAAGTCTGTTAGAATAAATTTGTGATCGTATCGTGACTACTGCCTTTCTTCTCAGTTAAGCTCATAGTGGTATAAAGAACAAAGAAGAAAGACCAAGGTGTTAATTTTAGTCTAAAAAAAGTAGTCAGTAAATTTGTTCTGAAGTGGTGCAAATAAAAAGCTAGACATCACAGGCACTTCAAGGTTAAGAATAGCAAAATATTACTTTCGCTTTCTCCAGTGACAAACATAATATTTCAGGAAAAAGAAATAAAGGGAGATATGACCCAAATTAGAATTTAAAGTTAAAATGTTTGTTTTCAAGTGTTTTTAATTACCATGAACCATAAGTCCAATGGTCCAATTATTCAATTCTTTACAAAACTTTTAAAAACACATTTAATAACAGAATTTGGAAACTCCTTATTCTCTAGAAGTCGAACTAAGTTGAACTAAGATATTTCACTAAAATCAAAACTTAAATAAATATATATTTATAAATTAAGCCACATTTTCCAGTGTCGTTGGGCTTCAGTTCTACTATTTTTTGGAAAATATCTGTTCTCATTGTTCTTCCAACACAGAAACAACAGATGTCTGTAGAAGGGAAATGTTGTAGCATTAACCCTTCTGTTAATACTTATTCATGCCATAAAGTGCTATGGAAAAAACTTTAACTGGTAATGGAAGCTTCCACATAGTACCTACCCACTGGCATTGAACATACAATAAAGTATTTTAGTTTATCTGATCCTGCAAATAAGGTTTGAAATAATTACTGTCAGTGCTTTATTGTGTACTGCGTTGAATGCATTCCACCTAATCAACAGCTGCTGGTGAAACAAGTAGTTCAAGATGAGAAGAGGAAATGAGTTGAAAACTAAAGTCTCCTGTGTGAAACCCTGGTCAGATCTCACTGGTGTAGTACCATATCCTTGCATTCCTTGCAGATTTGTGGAAGACTTTCTTGCTTCTGACAAGATCTTACAAAGGTGGATATAGCATGGCCCTAAGCAGCATTAATTTTAATATTTTTATCTGGACGAAAATATGAGGCATTAGGTAATGCTGTTCAAATGTATCAATTGTTTCATGATGTTTGTTTGGCTGAAAAGAATGTATGATAAAGTGAGAAAGAAGAAGCTGTGAAAAACTAAAAACTTTCTCCCAGAATTATGTACATACAGTACCAACATACTGAGCAAAAATCCAGCTTTTGCAAATACAGTCATATTTTCTCAGAAAATGTTAATCAGTAAGAATAAAGCGGTAGCCTCTGTACCACCCCAGAGAATTTGTCTGTATTTGTATAGAGAAGTGTGAGAAACACATTAAAAAGTCAACTTCATGCTACAGTAAAAAAAGATCTTGTACGTATTTATAATATCCAAATTCATAGAAGCATAGAATATCCAGAATTAGAAGGAACACAAAAGGACTGTTAGGCCCACACACAGGACCACTCAAAATTCAAACTGTTTGCCAAGACCGATGTCCAAAAACTTCTCAAACTGCAGCCTACTTGCTACTGCAATCACTGTACTAGGGAACATGTTCCAATGCCAACCACATTCTCAGAGAAGAATGCTTTTCTAACATTCAACCTGACACAAGATATGCATTAATTTTATGAAATTGAAGATAATTGGCTCCAAAATTGAACCCTGGGGAATCCCAGTTGTGAAAGGCCACCAGCCAATATAATCCCATTTAATATAACCCTTTGAGCTCATTTTGTCAGCCAATTACTATAATTGTTGTTGTAATAATAATAATACCCACTGTATTATGCAGTTAAGTTACAATCAAAAAGATCAACACAGTGGAAAGGTGATAGAGGAGCATAACAGCAAAGGGACTAGTGCAGATAGAATGGTGTTACAAAGGAAAAGTGTTCCCCCGTCTCCAAAGATCTAAGCTTGCAGAAAAGATCTCTAATCAGAGCTCTTTATCCAGTTGACCCTTAAGGCAGTCAACACTTAAGTG